GTCTTGGATGTAGAAGCGGATACGGTCTTGGACCCAGATCCCGATTTTGACACAGCAGCCGTGGATCCAGTCTTGGACGCTGATCCCGACTTGGATGCAGCGACGGTTCCAGCCTAGGCATTCGATCCAGGCTTGGATGCTGTGGATCCAGTCTTGGACGCCGATCCCGATTTGGATGCAGCGACGGATCCAGCTTTGGCAGTCTATCCAGACTTGGATGCCGTGGATCCAGTCTTGGACGCCGATCCCGTCTTGGATGCAGCGACGGATCCAGACTTGGATCCGGTACCGGACTTCGAAGACGAACCTGAGGGCTTGGGCGTGGGTGTGGATACAGTTTTAGGGGCTGCTGAAGAGGCAGAACCAGTTGTGGGCTTGGCCTTGGGAGAAGCCCGGGTCTTCTTGTGAGGCCGGGGAGATCCAGTACCAGGAGCAGGGGATACGCTACGCGGCCGTTTCGCAGCCGACGACCCGCTCCACTTGGAGAGCGCGGAGCAGCTGAGACGCTAGCGGCAGGAGGCGATCCAGCCAGGGGAGAAAGTGGATCCGACGATCCAGGGAGAGGAGAAAGGGGATCTGAGATAGCAGCGACCACCAAATCAGTCGTCGATGCGCCAAGTCCCGCTCGGACAACCTGCGATCGCGCTCTAGACCCAGCTGCTGGTGCTGAGCACGAGCAGTAGAGAGCTGATCCCGTAACTTTGTCGAAGTCGCCTCGACATCCTTCAGTTTGTCACCTGGATCGACGTAACGAGTGAATATGGGGTTACAAGAAGGTAACAAAAGATGATCCACGTACTCATGCGACGAATCTTGGATTCCAGCTCCGTTTGCGTTCGCTTGTCATCTGCCCACTCGGTGACCGCCTTGTCACGCTGAAGCTCGGTATCCGCCAGCTTGTCTTGGATCTCGTCGCGGGCTTGAGTCATGCGCACGAACTCCTCAAGCGCATAGTCTCGCCCAGCCGATGCTTTCTCGAGCGACTCTTTGGGTGACGGTGCCTACCATTTGTCGACCGGCTTCCACCGGCTCTCCGACTGTCGGAACTGGATCCGGTAAGGGGAAAATCAAACGTGTCATCCCCACCGGTTGTGGACTCGGCAGCTCGGAGGACGACGAGGAAGAGGGATCGGATTGGCCCGACGGCTCGGGGCCTCCTATCCGATCGTCCTTGAAGCGTACACTTTCTGCCGGCCATTATATCTTCGTCCCTGACGACGATGACGATGACGACGACGATGACGACGAAAGTCCGGAGGATTCAGAGGAAGCCTGAGTCGCTGATGATGCCTTGGCAGAAGACACGCGGCGGGCCTTGTCCCAATCCAGATCCGAAGCCCGGCGGGGATCTCTCTCGACACCGCCCCAGCAAGTCGCTGGCGCGCCAAGATGCGGGGCCGGCACTGCGGGATCCGCGATCCAGGTGGACAGTGACGATGGATCGGGTAGCGATGGGCTGCGGTGGCGTCGAAGACTAGTCAGCGGCTAAGACTGGATCCGTCGCTGCGGTGTCCAGTACTGGGTCCAGCACCGGGTCCAGCTCAAAGGCTGGATCCACTATCGCGCCGTCGTCCCAGGCAGTGGCTTCGACTGGATCCGCGGCAATTGCTCCTTCTACGACGAAGTTAGCCACATCCACAGCCAAGTCCAGTTCGTCTCAGTCGGGATCCACTGCTGGCCCTTCTCATCTTTCACCTCCTCGGAGAGAAGAGCCAGGGCCACATTTGGCGACGAGGGAGGTGGATTCGGTACGGGGGACCTCCGCGCGCCGACCCTGA